ATTGGGGGAAGCTCTACAAAGCTGGCAACCAATTGGATCTAGGCTAAGGAGAGCAGATGGTCGATCCAAGGCCAAAAATGAGGCTTTAGTCCCAAGTTCTTCAAATCTAAGGCTTTGAAACTTATTGAGTCACTTACATCTTATTTTTGATCTACCTTCTTTTCTTTTTTTAACAGTTAAAATTTTGAAAGACAATGGACTTGAGGGACGAATACTTTTATAGTGAACATCTGTTAGCTATAAGATCCAAAATTAGAACATACCAAACCGCAGAAACTCTGTGTCTGCCTTTCTCAACCTGAAAGCCTTCCTCCCTCAAGAGGGGATTGCTCTTCTAATTTTATGGTGACGATTTTCTTGCTCTTTTCTAAGAGTTATACAACTCTAACATACATTTCTATACAATTATTGAACTTTATGTGAATAGAAACACTGGATGCATTTTTTCTGCTGCTTTTTCTAAATATAATGTTGTAAATTAATCATGGTCTTTGACCATTTTTATTGCTCTGTGATTGCTTAATTATAAGAACATGCCAGTAACCATTTTACTATTGATGGGCATTTGAATTGCTTCCAGTTTGGCTGCAAAGTCCTACACAGGTCTTATTGTACATATGTATGAGTTTCACTAAGACATACACATAGGAGCGGGACTGTTTTCCCATCCAGTACAGTATCTTCAATTTTAGGAAATGATGTCAATATAAATAATTTCCAAGGTATTCATATAATTTGTACTCCTTCCAACAATGTATGAGAGTACCCCTGCTCCACATTCTCACCAACACTTGGCGTCTTTTTAATTTATGCAGTTCTAGTAAGCGTGGAATAATCTCTTATTGTGCTTTAATTTCCATTTCCTTTATTCTAGATAAAATGGGCCAGTTTTTCATATTTTTATTAAACATTTTGATATCTTTTGCAAAGTGACTATGCCTTCTGTGCATTTTTCTTTACTGGATTTCTCTTTTCTTATCAATAGTGGATTTGTAAAAGATCTGGGATGAGTCCTTTGTCAGTTATATCTATGTGAAAATATCTCTTCCTATTTGTCTTTTTACACTTTTAATGGTGTCTTGATGAATGGAGTTTCTTGATTTTGATGTGGTCACGTTTATCACTCTTAATGTATCATTAGATTAGTCCTTCTGTAGCTTAAGAAATCCTTCTTTACCCTAGTGTCTTAGGTTGGCCACTCTGGAGAACAGCCTCTGAGAACGAGATTTGCATGCAGGAGGCTTAGTGGGGAGTACTCCCAGGAATCAGACCTTTAGGGAAGTAAGAAAAGTAGGTTTGTTCAGTGTGGAGAATTGCACTGTGATCCAGTTGCTCATTAGTCCCACAAGGAGCTCTGGAATGGTGCTAGAGTTGTGCTAAGTTGAGGTGAGGGAGCCAGGCTGTTATGCCCTGTATCATTCATAGAGGGGATCAGATGTGAGTAACCAGCAGCCAACACTGGTGGCCGCTGAGCAAATGAGTGCCTCTATCCTATGGTACACCATGACAGCCACTACGGTTTACCCCTGGTGCCAACTGAACCTACTGGTTTTGTATGCTAAGTTCACCCCTGCGAAAAGCTCTTCCAGAATTTTGTTTGGTCTCTCTCCTGGAAAAGTTTTTAAAGGGGTAGGTTAACAGGATGAAATAGCTCCTGCCACTAAAGCTGTATTCAAGTTGCAACTTATCTCCCTCCTGGACTACCCATTCTAGATTTCTTTCACCCTTAACCAACATCTCTTCTGGTCTAGGTGGCTTATGAAATATTATAACCTAGATCCTCATCTCTCAAGTTGTCTGAGTCTCTGGTCCACTTATCCTTCTCAGATCATGGCTGCTACTCTTATCCACTAACTATCAAAAGTAGGAAGGGGTATATCATTGGATGGCCTAGGTGCCCAATGTTTTCCTCCCTGGCTTATCATGTAACAGTGAAGGAACCCTATCTCCTCCTGGGATAAAGTCACTTACCCCTGCCGGTATGGCTACATCTTTCTTCAAATACTGAACTCTTGAAATAAGGAGTCTGGGTTCCCCTGGGAACTAAGGCTAGGAACTAGGATCCACAGAGCCTCAAATTCAGGGATGAGAAGTACTCATTTTCTCAGTGAGTCAAGGGAGTAATGCTAAGCTGAACCACTCCTACTGTGTTTTCAGACTTGTGTTTTCTACTTATTGGGGACACAACACCATATAATGGATGTTGACCTAGAGTATGTGTTACATCTTGGAAGATGGCACCACATCCTCATAGGACTCTCCCCTTTCTTAAGTGGAGGAAGGGTGCTGTTGATCATTTTTGGAAACAGAATTCTTTATTTCACTGATATCATCCTTAATGGTGGAGTCAAAATTTTGCATTTAAGATTCTACTATCATATCATTTATTTAAGTCTCCAAATATGGTATTTTTTTATCTTTCTGAGTTTTCCTTAAAGTGAATTTTCTTAAAGAATCTGTCAGAATGTACATACAGTTCTCTTATGCTACATTTAAGAATTATAAAGAAGCATTTTTCTCACATCCACATTTCCAACTAGTTCCTCCATATTGATTAGAATTAAGTCCAAAATAGTAATTCACCTCATTGCTGCTTCTGCCATCTGAGGGAAAATATTTTTAGCAAGCAAAGACTGTATCAGATATTCAGCTTTTAGAAAAGGCTCTTTAATGGTAGCTGAATAATAGAAGACTCACTACGATAACTTGCTTCTGTGCCATGTCTTTATGAAATAAAGCATCATTCGTATGTTACTTCAGGCTAAGGGTCAGTACCACGCTCCTAATTTAGTGTTTGTCTTTCTCATCTTCTTTATCCTAAATGCTCTCCCCTGTGCCTCTTGTCTTGGGTTGATCTTTGAAAATATAAGTATATACTTTAATATGCATTGTTTTGGGGTTTTCCCCTTGTATTAAATCTATTTGAGTTCTATACTTACATTTATCAATTCCAGCCACAAAATCTCAGTGCTATTTCTGAGATTATATTTTACCATTTCATATGAAGCTTTATTCTTTTCAATAATACTATGTAAATACCTGAAAGTGGAAGTAGTATTTTTACTTTTTTTCCCTTAAATTTCTGGATTCTACCCCAAGCCTCCTCTTCCGGTATACTTTTGTTGTCACTCTTGCTGTCGTCATCCATAACATCTCATTTTACAGGGTGCTTTGTAGGGCTTTTTCGCCTCAATCTCTATTCAAGCTCTATTAATCATGTTGTCAATTAAGAAACCAAAGAGGTATTTCTGACATTCCTGGAATGTGTGTCTCTTTTCTTAAATCCTATTTTCTAATACCATCTGTGTAGCCAATTTGTTCATTTTTCATACCCTCTTATCTTCTCAATAGTGATGACTTTCAACTGAAGTAGGGAAAGAAAATATAATTTAGGCTTCTAGTGCTTTTTATTTCCAGCCCTGGACTCTAAAGTCACTAGAAATGCAAGAGAGTTCTTGTCTCACTCATTCTCAATAAATCAACTTCTATGGGCCAGAATTCACAGGTCTGTTGAGATTTGTCAAGCATTTGGTTAGAACACTGAAGATACAAAGGCAAGCACAAGTAGTTCTCAACATTTGTGAACAAGATCAGAATGATCACCGTCTGAATATGAGGTCAATTGCAATCTACAAATAAGATTAATCCTCTCCTCCAAACACAACCTAAAAGATGATTTGCACATTTTATTCAGCGAGACTAGATGCTTGTCTTGATGGAAATATCTATCAAGGCTTCCATTCTCCTTAAGAAAAAATGTAACTAAAGTGAGACACACTCATGGGTATTTAAAATGTTATCATAACTAAAGAACAGCAATTTATGTGCAGTCTGAAGAACGGATAACTTATACTTGCAGTGTCAAGAGTTTGTCAGGTCTTTTGGTTCTGTCAATGTCCAGGGGAGATGTTATTCTTAGGCTTCATGTAGGTTAATAAAACAAACAAAGATTTGGCTAACAAATTTGATAAAAATATATCTTGAAAATCTAACACGCCCCCCCCACACTCTTCTTTCCCAGTTTATTGAGGAATAGTTGACATACAATAAACTGTACATAATTTAAAGTATTCATTTTGGTTGAGTTTGACTCATACGTACACCCATGAAGCCATCACTATCGTCAAGATGGTGAACATATCCATCACTGCAAAAGTTTCCTTGTGTTCTTTTGTATTTGCTCCCTGCCTCCATGCCTGTCCTGTCCCCCACCCCAGGTAATCACTGATCTGCATCTGGACTATACATTAATTTCCATTTTCTGGCATTTTATATAAATGGAGTCATAATATATTTTTCATCTGGCTTCTTTCACTTAGTATAATTGTCTTGATGTTCAGCCATGTGGCTATAGCAGTACTTCATGTCTTTTTATTACTGAATGATATTCCATTCTGTGGATGTATCTCTGTTTTTCCAAAACTTTGATTTATAATGGAGCCTTCTTCAATGAACTTGTGCCTTCCTATAACATAGCTGTTATGAAATCTCTTGTCACTGGTAAAACTGATCAAGTTATGTTTCTGAGGCCACAAAGCTAGGGCAGACTTGGTATGCAAGGAGTCCCCCACTGAGGGTGTGAAGGAAACTCTCTGTGAGGTCAGTGTCCTCAGCCTCCAGACACCATCTTCCAATCACAACAGCATGTAATTGGGGATTTGTCATTTTTGTTGCAAAACAATGTCTATGTGCAGAGTATCCTGATGAATAATGATTAAAAGAGGGGCGCCTGCATGGCTCAGTCAGTTAAGCGTCTGCCTTCAGCCCAGGTCATGATCCCAGGATCCTAGGATTGAACCCTGCATCGGGCTCCCTGCTCAGCGGGAAGCCTGCTTCTCCCTCTCCCACTCCCCCTGCTTGTGTTCCCTCTCTCGCTGTGTCTCTCTCTGTCAAATAAATAAATAAAATCTTTTAAAAATTAAAAAAAAATAAAAATAAAAGAATGATTAAGGAAAGATCCACTTCTTCTCTTCCCCACAACAACCCCCTTGCCATTTCAGACCCCTAAGGGGACCTGTGCGAAGTCAGTGAAGATCGCCATCGATTCAGGGTACCGGCACATTGACGGGGCTTACATCTACCAGAATGAGCACGAAGTGGGGGAGGCCATCAGGGAGAAGATAGCAGAAGGAAAGGTGCGGAGGGAGGATATTTTCTACTGTGGAAAGGTAAGATCTTCCCTTCACCCTCCAACTCCTTATATTAATAATGGATCTTATATCACTTTGTTAAAGAATGTTGGGTCCACCAAGAAGAGCGAGTTCTCAACTCCCAAATTCCTCATTCTTACGCAGAATTTAGGGACTGATTAATTAGCCTGTTGAAAGTTAGGGCAAAGCTCCTTCTTCATACGTGGGCATTAATTTAAGACAATATGGGAAGAGCCAAATCTACAAAGCAGAAAAATTGGGAAATAGAGGCAAGAGAGGATGGGTGGAAGTGGTTCATATTACATAAGCATTTGCCAAAGCTTTCTTTAAAAGGGCAGCCTTCTTTTTTTTTCTATGCCTATTTGTCCATAGATCACTAATTTTTTTATTGAGCTGCAGTTCACATACGATAAAATTCAATTTAAATCAGTGGCTTTTCATGTATTCACAAAGTGGCATAACCATCACTACTACCTAATTCCAGAATATTTTCATCACTCCAATTTTTCCCATTTTTCCTCCCCCTGCCCCCAGTCGCTGGCAGCTACTGATCTGCTTTCTGTCTTTATAGTTTTCTTATTTTGGACATTTCATACAAATCGAATCATATGATATGTGGCCTTTTGTATCTAGCTTCTTTCACTCAATATAACATTTTCTTGGTTCATTAATGTTATAGCATATATGAGAATTTCATTTCTTTTTTTATGGCCAAATAATACTCTATTGTGTGGATATATGACATTTTGTTTATATCTCTACTTTTGAGCATTTGAAATTTCCAACATTAGAAATCACTATCCACTGAAGAGCAATCAGAAAGATAAAGCATCATGATTAAAATGCAAGCCAGTGGAAATACAGGATGAGTATTTACAGACAGCTTTGCAGAAATAAAGCTGTACAACTTTGGAGAACATGTAATAAATTCTCCTGAGTGTTCTAAAAGAGACCAAGATTCTGCTTCTGACTTCATTCACTCCCCAGACACCCCCTCCTCCCAGCTCCCCACTCAGGCTCCTTGCCAAGCTCCCTAGGAGTTTGTGGTTCCCCAGGTCTCCAGCCACTTACGGATTATGATTCCAAGCGGCCACATATAGCCACTACCCCAAAATATCAGCCTGAAGATTTTTACTTTATTATAGCTTTACAATTTTTATTCCTTAAGATTTTATTATTACAGTCTCTCCTTAGAGTAAACACCAAACCTTAACCTGGTGCTCCCAAAAATGTTTCTGGTGAAGAATAATCTTGAACTCAGATCCTGAGAACTTAGGCCAAAGCAACCTGCCCAAAGCGAGAAATATTTTTAAAGATTTATGTCTTATCCTAAATTTTTTTCAGACTTTTACATTTCCCCCGTAATATATTCTCATTTGTTTCATTTTGTTTGAATGTAAAAATTGGATTTTTAAGTTACCACCAAGAAAAACAAACCAAAAAACTTTTCTTATCTCCCCTGGTAAACAGTTAACACTGTTGTAATATCTATCATATTGGAAAAATGGAACCAAATTAAGTAATCTATTTCATAAAGTTGCTATGAGTTAACATTTACAAAGCACTTAAACATAGTACCTGGCACAGAGCTAGGACTATATGTGTTTGTTGAATAAAAATAAATTAAAATGTATGAAACAGAATTTTCAGCTAGATGGAAGGGCAGCAATAACACACCAAAGGGTCCCACAGTAATGACAAAAACACATTTTTCCACTACTCTTTCCACATTGTTTTCTATTCTTTATGCACTTAAGGCAAGAAAAAAAATATTGTCCAACATAGAGAAAAATCAAATTTTACCAATTTTGCTTGCCCTTCCTTGTGACAAAAGGGGTACAGAAATGTAAGTTTTTTTCCCTAAAAACACTTTGAACAAATTTGATGCTCCAAGAAGATGTATTAACTTATCCCAGGGTTCTGAGGATCCCTCAGTACCCTATGCTTTAGAGACCTTGAAGGTACACATGCTCTAGTTTGACAACCTAAGCCTTAATCTTTCATTACCTAACACTTTACAGATTGAGTAATTTCATTTTCTTTCTGTTTTTTTTTTTTGTTAAGCCAAATTTATTTTTTCCAGCTTCATTGAGGTATAATTGACATATAACATTTTGTAAACTTAAGGTGTACACCATGTTGATTTGATACACTTATGTGTTGCAAAATGATCACCACCATAGTGTTAGTTAACACCTCCATCATATCACATAATTACCATTTCCTTTTTATGGTGAGGACATTTAAGATCTATTCTCTTAGCAACTTTCAAATATATAATATAGTAGTGTTAACTATAATCACCATGTTTTATATTAGATACCCAGAATTTATTCATCTTATCACTGAAAGTTTGTACTGTTTGACCATCTCCCCATTTTCATCTGTGGATAGCTGTCAAATTATTGACCTTTATTGGAGAGGACCAGACTGTGTCTTCCACACCACTATTTTGGTGACATTACCAGTTTAGCCAGAGAGCCAGTAATTTCTTAGTAAAAACTGGCAGAATTTCCCTGGGGTCTGCATAGGACCAAATGAGAACAAAGGAACAGAAAATCTAAACATTTGCAATAATTTAAAGTTTCACCAACTTCTGTACCACCTGTCACGAGGTGAAAGACCCAGTGAATTCACTCCCATAACCATATTTCTTGTTCCGCTAAAGTGCATCTTTTATCAGAGTGTCATGAAAATAAAGCACTAAGCCCAACCAGCTAGTCAGATATATGTTCCCTATCTACGCAATGAGGAAAAGCAAAAGTGCTGAGGGTCAATTCAGAAATTATCAGGGAGCAGGGCAAGACTTTGTCATCGACCTAGGTATTCTGTGCTTCAGGTGGATCTGCAAGTCTCTGGTACTATTTTTAGATAAAGTATACTCCAGGTGTCAACAGTTATATGAGCTCATCCTATACCCAGATGACACTGCAGCATAAAGATATTTTTGTAAAATGAAATGAGTGAATAATATATATGAGTGCTTTGTTAAGAATAAAGGGCTTCATTATTATTAAAAAAAAAAACTGTAAATGTTAGTTAACTATCACCTTTTTATTCTTTCAGCTGTGGGCTACAAGGCATGACCCAGAGATGGTCCGCCCAACCCTGGAGAAGACACTTAATGTCCTTCAGCTAGATTATGTGGATCTTTACATCATTGAAATACCCATGGCTTTCAAGGTAAGTTCAGATGCCTAAAGGTTAGGTCTCTGCTCTTTGGCAACCATGAGCCAGCAGCTGTGCATGTGAAGCTATGAAGCTAGTTTATTACTTATCACCATAGAGTGTTAAGGTGTTTTGTTGCTATAAATCAGATAGTACTGACCAACCCCAACAAATGTCTACAAAGATTATGTGTAACAGACTCAGGTCTGGGACCCTAGCTTCTTGATTCATAATCCAATGCACCTGCTATTATGTCTGCTCTTTACAACTATAGTTTAAACTCTCTCCATCAAACTGACATGTAGTTCCCTACCTGTACTCTACATTTTAGTTACCTGGCATTCAGACACACCCTTCTTCCTGTTCACACAGTCATGAAAATGTCCCTGCAGAACATAATGCAACATAATATATACAACTGAAAACTTACTCACCCTCCACCCCCTCCAAAAAGAAATAACCCAAAGAATAGTCAGGTTTTTGGAGAGCCAGATCCAAGATCAGGGTATCTACGTGATATCTATTGCTCTAGTTCAAATTCACTCCTTCTTTGAACTTTCTCAGTCTGTGAACTGACCACCCACCACACACCTGTATATACATTGCTAAAGAACAGTCACTGTTTTAAAATTTCATTGAGGGTAGGAGAGACTGAAAAATAAAATTGGCCACTTGTCCACAAGGTAAATCAGATCCTGCTGCTAGTCAGAAAGAACAAAGACTCTGCCATTACAGTGGCCAGAATTCTTTTATGCAGCCAACCTGGCTTCCCCTGTTCTGTTCTCTGGAAACACTTTCCTTGTTGGCTCACATCCAAGATGGACTTTGGGAAAGATTGACCTTTTGCCTCCTACTTCATGTAGATATAGGTTTGGGGGCTTCACAATGGCCTTGGTAATCATAGGCTTTTATGGTCAGGTTGAGATTTCACCGATAAGGCAATATCCCTTAAAATGTAATAAGCTTTCAGTAAATTCACATTCAGTCAGGTCCATGAATGAGTAATTAAAACTAGAAATCTAATAGGGTCACATTTCCTATACCTAACCTGTGGCCTATGGTTTCTGTCTCTTAGTAAAGAACTTCCTTGTTTTACTCACCTGCCCCATCTTCAGCTTACTGACCTCCATCTGACTTGAAATAATATAAAACAGGCAGGCACAGCTAATGTGTTCCTTGCACCCAGGCTGCATCTCATTGGATGGTGCACCTTTGTCCAGTAGGGCATCTGTGGTCTGAGATCTTGTCTTCAGACACAACCAGAATCCTTCCAAAGTCCAATATTACTTCCTTCTAGGATTTTTACCTTCTTGCCTTGGCTATCACTAACTTTTCTATCTCCAGAAGGCTCAGATCTCAACTTCTGTCATCTTGGATGACATCCAAAAGTACAGAGTACCCATTTTAGCAAAATAGCATCTTACCTCTCATCTTATAAGCCCAGTAGCAACAAACACATCTTTCTTCAAGACCTACCTGAAGACTGCAAAAATGGCCAACAAATTCTAATACTGAGTGGTTTTCTACTAAGTCCCCTAAAGCTCCAACATTAGTAGGCCCATTTGTCTGAGTCTCAAGACAGAACAAAACAAAAATTTAACAGATTCTATGCTATTGCAGAGCAAGGATTGCCAATTCTCAGCTGGAGGCAGCATACTTCTCACTGTCCACAATCCCATATCGACCTAACCAATTTCCCACTTTTGACCCATTACTCGCCATACCCCAACATCTTTGTATTAGTCAGAACTTGTTATATGGCAGAAATCCAGCTCAAATTGGTGTTAGCTAAAAAGGGAGCTAAGAATTCCGAGGGATATCTAATTCAGGCCCAGCTGGATCCAGAAAGTCAAACTGTGAAACTGGCCCTTTATCTCTGTTTTAGTTGGCTTCATTCTCAAAAATCCTTCTCTGTATGATGGCAAAATGGCCATTGACATGCCACGCCTACACTGTCAACACAACGTGAGAATTCAAAGAGAGACCACGCATTAACCTCTGGAGAAATACTGACTAGCTTTCCTTTGGTCTTGTACCTATTCCTGACTAATCTTTGCTCAGGGCCAAATGGGTGACCGACTGACATCTATGACCAAGAATAAAAGCTGGGTCAGCCCACCCAAACAACATGGAAAGGGCTCCTCCAGAGGAGACAGCATGGGTATGACAGAAAACAAAATAACAGATTTCTACTGTAATTGATTAGAGGCCACTTAGCATAGTGGTAAGGAGCATGGACTCCAGAGGCAAGCTGCCTAGTTTGAGTCCCAGCTGTGTCACATACAAGCCAGATGACCTGGTCAGGTTATTACCTGATCTCTTTCCATATCACCTAAACATGGTGCAGTGGAAAAAGTCTGTATGGGCTTTGGAGTCACACAGAAGAGGGACTGACTTTCAGCTTTATTACTTCCTAGCAATAGTCACTTTGATCTTTCTTTTCTTTTCTTTTTTTTTTTTTTTTTGGTTCTTTCTGAACTTCAATTTCATTATCAGTAAAATGGAGACAATAGCAACTACCTTGTTGTGAGGACTCATAAAATTATATATGTGACATTACTGGCACAATGTCTAACATTTTATAGATAATAAATGAAAGATAATATTCTGAAATGTTCAGGTGGAAGAGAACCTTAGTAATAAGATATCCCAATAACCTAATTTCACAGAAGAGAAAGTTGAGGACCCAAACAAGGAAGTAACTCACTCAGGTTTAAAGTTCATTAGAATGGGACCAGATGGTGGGTTCCCAGATGCCAACCCCATACTTGTCCTCCCGAACCTAGCAATCCCAATACCCTGTAAACTATAGTGATTTTTTATATTTCAGGTTCTTGAGAGTTATAACCTCAGCCCTCATCCTCACACAACCAACTTCACTCGTGTTCAAATGGTAGATTTCCAAGCTAAGTCTTAAATATTTGGAAAGAGCCTATATCTAAAAGTGAGAAAATGAAATTTACTTCTCTGTGACTGACCAACGATTTGTAAAATCTTTTTGGGAAAGGTAAACAGAGAATTTCCACTGCTATTCTTGGGTGGAATCAAGGCTCAAGGATGCAGAGAGACAGTAAAACTTCTAACAGTGAGAAATGACACAGTATAATGACATTACTTCACACATGAACCTATAATTCCTATAATTGAGAAATCAATCTTTGAAGCCAAAATATCACATGCTTTTTGAATCCCATGATTTTTTTAACAAGAAACCTTTCTTGCTAAAATATTTTAGCACTGAAATTTTTTTAAATGTCAAGTTAACAAGCAGACACAATTTTAGAACAACAAAATACAAAAAATCACAATAAAACATCTTTAAGGATTTTTTTTAAAGATTTATTTATTTGAGAGAGACAGAGAGCATGAGTTGTGGGGGGGGAGAACAGAGGGAGAAGGAGAGAGAATCTCAAGCAGACTCCATGTGGAACTGGACTCGGGGCTCCATCCCAGGACCCTGTGATCATGACCTGAGCTGAAACCAAGAGTCTGACATTTGACCAACTCCATCACCCAAGCGCCCCACAATAAGACATTTTTAAAAGATGAATGAAGTTACTGCTGAGCAGGAATGAGAGTCAATAGCATGGGTTTCTAGAGGGTTGGTTTGTTTTTCTAGCAAGGTATTACAGTAAGGAGCAGGAATAGAGGACAAAGACAATGGGTTTATCAGAATGAATGGATTAGTAAAGTAGACACAGCAGAAGCTTAAGGGAGGCATCATAGAAATATTGAACATGGATGTAGGCTTGGTAAGGACTTAATTAAAATCTGGAGAAGTAAAAATTATTTAACAGAGTTCATAATGGAGGCATAAAGCCCTTTCAGAACAGAAGTAAAACTAGGAAATGCAAAAGGTAAGAAATATAGAGAAAGACTGGAGTGAAAATATGGGTCATAAGTGTTGAGAAGGTCGAAGAGCTTAGAATCAGAGATAGAAAGAGTAATTAACATGAATGATTATGGGGCATTTAGGAGAAAGGAGACCTTTTCCTGTTCTCAGTGTGACAGGAGGAATTGAGAAGAAATTGTTTTCACTAAAAAGGACAATGGAGAAAATGTTATCACCAGGGGGAAGTTTCATTCAAGTGAGATGACAGAAGGAAAAATTTAAAAAATTTTTAAGAGTATAAATGATTTTGTCCAGTTGCTTAATTTTCAACAAAGAATTCCTATTATCAAGGCCTACAGACTTCCATCCTGTCATCCAAATCTAAAAGATACTTTGTCCCCATATTATTTGATCTCTTTCAATACAGGTGACTGCTACCTTTTTCTTTAAACATTTTCAGCTCATGGTTCTATGATATCACCCTCTCAAGATCTTTGACAGCTTCTTCCCTGTCAACCTCCAAATGTCATTATGCCCAGTACTCTATCCTCAATATTGTCTTAATGGGCCGCACCTTCTCTAAACGTGATCAGTTGCGTGGATTGAATACCACTTTATATGCTGAGGACTCCCAAATTTGTCTGCAGTCAAGACTTCTCTCTGAGCCTCCCTCAGACTTCTCTGTTAATTGCCTCCTCACATACCCAGTGAATGTCTAATTGCCATTTCAATCTCAAAACATCCAAAACAAAACTCTTGATGGCTAGCCTAAACTCAGGGAATGATCACCACCAGCCACCAAGGAGCCTAGAAATCATCTTTTATTTCTCTCTATCCTGCCGTCTCCAAGCCCGTAACAGATGGGTCCCATTTTTAGATATAGTCAGAAAGGAAAAACCTGAAAACCAATGGTCAATCTTAATTGGAAAAGGATCACCCAAAAACTATGTTTGATACTGAAACAATTTGTGAAGTAGAAAAACAGATGCTAAACTCCTGGAGGGCTGGAAAGGGAAAGAAGAGAACCACAGAGCAGATTAGTCAGAACTAAGAAGTAATGTGCTGAGTTTTCCCTTATACTTTTAGGAAGCGTTCCATTCATTAGCTACACTATTCTTAGCTGGTGAACTTCCTCTCACCCTTGATGATGATCTTTGGTTTCTCATCAGAGTAAGAAATTTGCTGTTTTAAACTTTGGCAAGGGTTAGGGTTAGGTCAAAACACTGAGCCTAAAAGTCTTAATTCTCAACTTTTGTTGAGAATTTTGTTATTGTTAGAGTGGCTGGTGATGAGGGTGGCAAAAAAATGTGCAAAGAGTGGAGCAATAAACAGGACAGTGTTTATTCAATCTCCAACGGAAGAGAGAGGCCAGATATCCAGAGAAATGTCAGCCCCAAGTTTCTGTTAGGTTGAGCATTTTAAGGGGTTTTGAAGGTTGTGAGAGGATTATAGCTGTACCCATGGGGTGGGGGTGGGGGGTGGGGAGGGGGTCGACTCTTGGCCAGGTAGAACAAGAGATGGCAGGTTTTTCAAGGGGCTCTGTCCAGGACCCTTCCAGGATGTGGGCTGTGGTCAGGCTAGAGAAGAATATGTTTTGTAGGTGGGGTCTACTTTCCAAAAATGACCTAGAAAAACAGAGTTAGGGCAAAGTACAGACTCCTGTGAGTTTTGTCTCTAAGTATGGCTGGGGTCGGGGTGGGGGGTGTTGAACAGATTCCTTTCACTATGAGAGAACTTCGTGGTTTAAGAACAATGATAATTTGTCAGTAAATAAAGGAAAATGAATGCCAGGGTGAGATAATGAGACTAATGTGTCATATTTATTAAATGTAAATATATAAATAATTAAAATTGAATTGCTTTCCCAGGGCCAGGGTATATGTCATAATGACAACTCAAATTCCATAATTTTAATTCCCAGTTATAAATAAAATAAGTTATGTTCATTTTTTTTGTAGCCTGGAGATGAAATCTATCCTAAAGATGAGAATGGCAAATGGTTATATCACAAGTCAAATCTGTGTGCCACTTGGGAGGTAAGTTTAAATGGGCCTCTTTTCTTGAAGGCTGTATTTTTAAACTGTCTCTCCTGTTCAATTTATGGAGAGATGCGGCCCTTACTCCTAATGGAAAGGTATTTCGAAACAGGTATTTTTAACCATAAGCAAAGATGTGTAAAATTCCGCCTTCTCTGCACTGAAAAATTCTTGATTTTGTTTTGATGGAAAAGAAGAATGCCAAAGGAGAGAGAAGTGTAGAAAGAAAAAGAAAGGAAATAAATTCTAATGTAACTGTAAATAAAAATATATAAATGTGATAAATTCACAGATTTTTGGAGTTTCTCAAATTGAATTTATAAAAATCATTACTATGATGTTTAAAAGAAACAAAATGATACATGAAAAACTGAAACAATAATTCTGGTTCCAATTTTGAGCAAGCTGTTGGCTCCTTCCCCAAGATCATAAGATTAGGGAAACGATGGGGAAGTAATGAGAAAACCTGTATGGATTCATGCTGGGGTGAGGGGTACAGATATTTTGAACTGGTTTCTTTATGAGGTAATATGGCAGCTTTTACCTAGAGTAGAAGGCGGCCCAATAAGCTATAAGAGGATAACATAGGAGAGGACCTTAGAGTTCTTTTGGCTTTTTCTTCTCTCCTGCTATATAGCCTTGGAACAAATATTGTCTGCTCCACACATGCAGAAATATAAGACTCATGTTCAGATGTCTTTAGGAATCAAATCAGAGTAGCACTGAAATCCTGCACTTGTGAGAGGCTGAGAAAAACATGAGTTACTATCTGACCTCTGGCAGTTGTTCCCCTCCCTCTCTCATTCCAAACTCCAGAGGCTGGGAAATTAGACTCTAACAAGTACCTCTTTCTAATGGACATCCCCCTTGTAGTTATAGCTGATTATCTGAATTGTGGAGTTGTTTTGAGGGGTGAGGAGGCATTGATTGGGTTTTCTGATGCCTGGGGCTCTCCACTCAAGAGATCATACACTCATTCCTGACCTCATTGTAGATGACTAGGTTTGGAGTCTGGGGTTCCTTTCCAAGGGACTGCCCTATAGCATAGCCTGTATCCCCAGGGAAAAAAAATGTGTTAACAACCCCAAATTACAAGGCATTTATTTTACAAAGAAACATCGTATCTTAATTAGAGATCCAAGCATAAACAGAACAGAGGACCAAGAATTTTTAACTTTTTTAGCCAATTAATAGATTCAAGGAGATAAGGTGTTAGTGATATGAAACAAGAACAAGAATACATTTTTTAAAAAACAAGCAAAAATAATAATTAGAAAAATGTAAAATAGTGCAATCAATGGGATAAAAATAGAATGGATATAGACAAAGAAAAAATTATCAGACTGAAAGATCAGGATGAGCAACCCCACCACCCAATATGAAGAAGGAAAGGACAAGAAAATTGTTTAAATATGAAAGAAAAGCTAAGAGATGTAAAGGATAAAATTAGAATTTCTAGTATTCATACAATAGGAGTCTTGGAAAAAAAAAGAAAAAGAGGTAATATTTGAAGAAAAAAAAAGATAAAGGGCATGGATTACCAAAGAGAAAAGAAAACCCTTATCTAGATACATTACAGTGAAATTTCAGAATATCAAACATACAGAGAAAATGTTAAAACTTCCTGAGTATAGCAAACAAGACAATAAAGAAAAAAATTGAAGAAACAATAATAAATCGAGGAAAAGACAGGAAAAAAAGAGGGAAAATGAATAGATGAGAAAAATAGAAAACAAAGAGCAAGACAAGAGATTTAAACTCAGTTATATTAATAATCACAATGTATGTAAATAGTCTAAACAACTCAGTTAAAAGGCAGAGGTTATGAGAATATATAAAAAGCAAAACCCCACTATATATATTAAAGAAATCCATTTTAAATAAAAAGAAACAAATGGCTAGAAGTAAAAGGTTAAGAAAAAAAAGTAAAAGGATAAAAAAGATATACTAGGCTGATGGTAATCAAAAGAAAGCTGGAGTAGCTATTTTAATGTCAGCAAAGATTTCAGAGCAAAATTTTATAATAATGAAGAGATCAATCCTAAACATCTATGCACTTAATAACAGAACTCCAAAATACATGAAGCTTAAATGAAGAGAACTGAAAAGAGAAAGAGAATAATCTACAATTACAGTCAAAGATTTCAGAACCTCTCTCTCAATAATTGAGATAAGTAGATGGAAATCTATAGAAGAGATATGAACATTATCAACCAGCTTGACCTAATTGACATTTATAGATACTTCACAAACTATAACAAAACGCTATTTTTCAAGGGCACGTAGAACATTTAACAAAATAGTCCATTGCCTGAGACATGAAAAAAAATCTCAATACATTTAATAATATTCTTTATGCAAAGTCTGTCTGATAAAATTAGAATTAAATTTGAAGTCAATAACAAAAATCAATCTGATAAACCATCAAATATTTGGAAACTAAAAAGCACACATGTAAATAACACATAGGACAAGAAATAAAAATTGTATTTATATATAAAGTATATGTTAGCAACACACAATTGGAAATTAAATTTTTTTAAATGATACTAAGTGTTTAGAGATAAATTTAACAAAATCAGTGCAAGACTTAAACAGTAAAAACTATGTGATACATTACTGAGAACAATTTATTTTTAAGTAATCTCTATGCTCAACGTGGGGCTTGCACTCACAACCCCAGGATCAAGAGTTACACGCTCTACCAACTAAGCTGGCCAGGTACCACTACTGAGAGCAATTTTTCAAACTTTAAATAAGTTGAGAGATATATCATGTTCTTTGATAGAAAGACTGAATACATCAAGTTGTTAATTTTCCCCAAACTGATTGAAAGACTCAATGGAGTCCCAGTCAAAATACCAAAAGAAATTGAAAAGCTGATTCTAAAATTTATAGGGAAGTATAAATAGCATAATGATAAAAGACTCAAATTACCAAGAAAATATACTTATTTTTTTAAAGATTTTATTTATTTATTTGACAGAGAGAGAGAAAGCACAAGCAGGGGGAGCAGCAGAGGGAGAGGGAGAAGCAGGCTCCCCGCTGAGCAGGGATCCTGACGTGGGGCTCGATCCCAGGACCCTGGGATCATGACCTGAGCCGAAGGCAGACGCTTAGCCGACTGAGCCACCCAGGCGCCCCGAATATATACCAATTTTAAACACATATGTACCATATAAAACATCTTCAAAATATATAAAGCAAAAGTGAGTAAACTATAAGAAGACATTGATAAAGTCTTCTAATATAGTGGGAAATTTCTGACATAGTCCTTTAAATTATTGAGAAGTCAGGAAAAGCTAGACCTAATTTTGCATATAGTGTGTGTGTGTTTATATATGTTGTATATATATACATATACATATATATATATATGTGCATGAGAGAGAGGTACAGAGCAAGAGGAGAGATTTATATCTAATAAAAAGAGATATACATATTCACACACGCCAGACATTTATAAAAATGGATCAGGTACCATGCTATAAAGCAAATCTCAACAGATTTCAAGAAATAAGATCACTCTTAAGGGACTGGTATACATTGTGAAAATGCTAGGGGAAGATATGCTGTACAATATTTCCCACACTAATTCAATTCTAGAATTCCTGCCTCTCTCACTTTTTTTTTCTTCACAGAACGCTTATTAATATACCCAAGGACTTTCCTTCTTAAAGATTCATAGTCACCCTCACAAACATTATCATTTGTTTTGAGGCTTTTTTTTTTAAACCCCTTGACCTTTCCTCAACAGGCTTTAGAAGCTTGCAAAGACGCTGGCTTGGTGAAATCTCTCGGAGTATCCAATTTTAACCGCAGGCAGCTAGAGCTCATCTTGAACAAACCAGGACTCAAATATAAGCCAGTCAGCAACCAGGTACAGTTTGACGGGAGGTGGGAGGTGAGAGGGGGACTGTGAGGGGAGGGGGAGATTCCAGTATTTACTTAACAGGAGAACCCTGGGCTAGGAGTCAGAAATCTTGTGGTCACTCTACATATATCTCATCATAAGACCCTGAGAACAAGTCTTGTGACAGCTCTCAATTTATGTCTCTTAAAAAAAGATTTGCAAGCTCAAAGCCAAGCAAAAATAATCCAAAAAATTTTTTGAAGAAAAATAATGAGGAGGAACTAGATCTGCCAGATATTAAGATGTACAGAGCACTTAAAATTGTGTAAGATTAGTATGAGAACCAACATACAAATTAATAGAAAATAAGAAATATCTTAAAACAGGCCCAAGTGTAATAAAAACTTAATGTAGAAACAGTAACACAAACTAATGACAAAGGGATGAATTTTTCAGTAAATAGTGTGGAGGAAATGGCTAGTTATGTAGAAACAAATACAGAAATTTGCCTCGTGTCCTCCTCCTAGTATCTCTTCAACCGGGAGTTAAAGAAGAAAGAGGAAGTCACTTGTGCATACTACAAAACGATTTTAGTTTTCCAGAGCTATAGAGAGAAGATGAAGCCATGAGGGGCGCCTGGGTGGCTCAGTCGGTTAAGCGACTGCCTTCGGCTCCGGTCATGATCCCGGGGTACCGGAATCGAGTCCCGCGTTGGGCTCCCCACTCAGCGGGGAGTCCGCTTCTCCCCCTGACCCTCCCCTGCCTCATGCTCTCTCTCTCTCATTCTCTCTCTCAAATAAGTAAATAAATAAATAAAATATTTTAAAAAAAAGAAAATGAAGCCATGGGAAAATTACAAAAGAAACTGACATATTTAATAGCATAAAAGCATTAAATTCTAAAAATATTAGAAACAAAGAGCAAAAAATGGATAATTATAGTTTAAATAGAATAGAAAAGCGGGATCATAGCCTTATGAGCTAAAAGCCTAATAAAAATTAACAAAAAATTCAAAGATAAAACACTAAGGCTCAACAGAAAAGTGAGCAAAAGAACGGTGAACAGAAATTCGAGAAGACAAATTGCAAGACTAGTGAACATATGAAAAATGTTCAACTGCACTAGTAATTACAGAAATTTAAATTTAAGTATTATTTCGTATTGTATATCAAATTAGCAAAGCTTTCGTTTTATTTTTTAATATAATGTTCCATATAAGCAAGTGATAAAGTGCTGGAAAGTACAAATTTGTTCAGCCTTACTGGAAAGCAATTTGGCAATAAGTGTCAAGAGCCTTAAAAGATGTTCACAGTCTTATATTCCTAAGAATTTATCCTTGTGAAAAAAAAAATCTGAAAGCCTTTATGTGTGTTTGTCACAGTACTGTTTATAAAGGCCAAAAAAAAATGGAAAGGAAACAACACACATGAAAAATTGGGGGAATATTTAAATAAATTATAAAACTCATGTAATGTAAAATCTTAATAAAAGATTATCTTTTGCTCATTTTTGAGCAAAAGAGCAATGGCCATGATATGAAGGGGAGAAACCAGGATACAAAATGTAATTCAGTATTGATGTGAATATATTATTTTAAAACATGCATAGAAAAAATATTGGAAAGAAATATATCAAAATACTAACCGTGGTTATCTCTGGCTATGAATGACAAGTGAATTTTGTTTTCTTCTTTATGCATTTCTGTATTTTCCAAATCTTCTGTCATGAGTATATGTTACTTTTATAATCACAACAAAATACTGTTAAATGGGGATGATGATAGTCTCTTCACCCTACTTCATAAAACACTAAGAAGCTACATTAAAATAATATTCTTAGGGTAAATATTCACGTATTGGAGTTATGGTTGACTTGTTTGCTTGATTCATTGTTTTTAGTAACTCAAAATTGTCTTGAGTTAATAACAGAAAGAATGAATTATTACCTATCATGACAATAGCCAGCTAAAATAGAAGTGTTGCTATATTTAGAAGTATTACTTCCTAATCGACACCTAAGCCAACACTATACCATATGCTCTAGGAGCAGATAGCAACAACCCTTGACTTCCTAACTGATCTCAATCTATCCCTTTATTCCTACTCTAACCTCACCAGCACGTCCCTCTCCTGCACCCCCAAGAATAATATTTTGTTATAAAAAGTTAAAATGACACATGTTCCTTCTTACAAATATACAAAAGAGGATGGAGATTTTTGACCTCAGAATGAAAAATGGAGTAAGAATTTGACAGTGTGAAAAAAAAAGAATTTGACAGTGTGTCTCCTCATGCCAGGGAGGAAATACCCTGATATGCTGGCACAAGAATCATGAATAGCTTCACAAATGTACCCTGCAAGGGAAACAAGACATGTCGGAAAATCATATCCCAAGCTTGTTCATTTGCTTCATGGTAAATATACCAATATTCTAGAGATGGTACAGATCCAAGTGCAGGTCTACTGGCCACCAGCCATTGCCCTGTGCCCTGGGTACCTACCTCTACTCCAGAGACACAAAATGAGCACCTTTCCGTGCCCACATTCAAACAGCTTTCAGTCCAGGAACATGATGACATATTGTGGGCCTTATAGAGGGTGGGCATATTTTATATATAAGGAATACATACCTGAAGACCTTGCAAAATTCAAAATTCACATATTTAAAAACTAATTTTCCCATTAGAATAAATCTAAAGTATAACTTGTAGATTTTTATATTTTTTCATAGACTTTATGAACAAGGGCACTCTATACTCATTCTCAGAGCCTGAGCATTCCAAGCTTCCTTAGTACTACCCATGATGTCTATCTAAACAAATGTGTCTCCAGCCTCCATCCCTGGCTTAATCTCTCTGAAAGCCTTCCTGGTGGGCAATTTGTCATGCAGTGTTTTCCCAGCCTGATTCAAAGGAGTCTGTGGATCTACCTCAGGCTATTTAATCTCACACACCTAATTCTCCTAACAAATGAAGGGAGGGAGGTGGGGAGAAAGGAAAGATTTTCAAATTCTTCAGTTTTTCCTAACCCTATTCACTATGGCCTAAATCCCAGGTGTCCTGATTTAGGAATCAATAACTATTTTTTGAGTTTGATTTAATGAAATGAAAATTCGACACCGTTTTTTACAGAAAGACACAGGATGGGGTTAATGTCTTCCTTCACAGGTTCTGTCCAACTTAACTTTACCTTGTGAGATTTTGATATCTGAAGTTCTGCACTACCAAATAGTGTTGTAAAAGCCCCAGACATGTCAAGACACTGTCAATGATGTCAATTTTACATAGTAAACAAGAAAAAGTAAAGACTGCCTCTCCACTGGCCCATCCACGAAGGGCTAAAACCAGTCCCTAGCAAAGAAGGAAGCAAGCGTGCTTAGATATGCTTCTTCTTGGAAATGAGCAAGTTCCTGGGCAATGATGACATCAAGGTACTGTGACAACAGAAACCATCACTACCTTCCACCTTAAACTGAGCATCCAGTGCCAGCATACCAAACAAAGATCATTCACTGGCCTGAAATGACCCCACCAAGCTGCAGTCCTTATAAAACCCCTCCTTGTAACAGTCTGCAGCATCAGTAATGCTTCCTAAGATGCTGACTTGGTCCTCTCTGTATCATTATGTTTTCATTCAACAGTCATTGAGCACCTGCCTTATGCCAGGCACTTTGCTAGGTTCTAGGCGTGCATGCATACGTGGCTAAAGACAGACACAACCCTTCCTCTTGGAGCACTAGCTATCTAGTGGGGAGCACACATTAATCAAACAATCACAAAATCTATTGATAATTAGAAACTGAGATAAATGCTCTGAAAAGAAGGACTATGGTTCTCTGTGAGTTCATATGCATTTAGATCTTATTAACTTATCCACTCCCACCCCCAGAATTTCCCTCACTGGTTGTCCCTTTCGTGATATGCCCTGGAATTTTTACCCAACAACTGTCTAAGCAAAGATTTATATTATATTATTTTAAGTTATGTTGTTGAGTTTATATGTTAACTCAAAAGCTTTTGTCGAGCAGATGTTTCTAGTATGTTGCCCAGTGCAACTCTCTGCGTAGTCCTAAATTTCAGTTCATAGATTCAGTTCAGTCACAGATATGTGCATATCTATTTGTTTTATTTCTAATTGTAATAGCCTTTTTACGCATACCTTTTGTCACAAGCCATATGAAGTCCTTTTTCAAAGGGTAGGTTGTAAAACTGTTTGATGTGTATATAAACACGCACATATATACATACGGATATATACATACATACTTCTACATATTTAATAGGCCAGAGACAAGCAACAGCATACCAATCTGATTAGAAAGGAGTCCTTGTGGGAAAATGAAATGTTGTGTTTGGAATGAACAGGAGGGCATTAAAGTAAGGAATTCATAGTTAGTTTCTAAGTAGTGGAATGACGTGATAAAATACATATTTTGGAGAGACTGGTCTACCAATAATAGACAAGATTGGAATTGAAAAAGTAGAGAGCGATGTTGGAAGTTGGAGAGGGTAAAGGAAGGAAACACTAAGAAGTGTGATTCCTGCCTTATTTTAGTCTGTGTGTTACTTTCTAGAATTATTTAAGAAATGTTCCAAGGAGGAGAAATCCCACAAGTGTTTCTTAGGGTAAGGGAACAAGATTATATCAGGGGAAAAAAAGTATGTCAAGTTAGAGAACAGAAAGAAGACCCACCAGGAAGAGGCTCAGTTTACCTTTGCCACTTCATCAGTAGCATATACTTGTGACTTCTAGAAACAAAACTCATCAAATACTCACTCTTCCAGACAATGAAGATAATAAATATATGTTTCAATTATTTTAATTCAGCCTTGGTTGATTTTAATTTAAAAAGGTAAGAAAAGCATAGGTCAAAAATTACCATAGTGGCTAAGAAGAAACTTTGAGAAGAACTTTGTGACGCAAGTATTTTTAGTGCAGGAATCTTGCCAGTTATAAGATACTAAAGATGAACGTAGGCCTGCACCGGGTGGTGTAAAGAACTCTTGGCCAAAACGACAAAATTCATCTTTAGATTTCATGTTATACATGCTCTACCCCTTGTGAAATTATTCTTAGATACTTGATAGCTACAGAGAGAGAGCTTCTGCAACGTGTCATTTCTATTTACCAAGACTGTAATCTGAACCTTGAGACTGTTTTTTTTGTTATAGAAAATTGTATTTGCTGGAATGGTGACTGTAAATAATTAAGTTTGTTCCCTCAAAGTTTTAAACTATGATAACTTTACGAAATTGAATTTGCCCCCCACTTATTTTAGAATTACTCCACAGATGGTGAACTCACTAACCTTGTTTTACTTAATCTCACCAATAAACAATGAAAATTTCCTTGTTAGGAACAATATTTAGCATTTGCCTCATTATCCATAATACTTGTAAATGGGTTTTATTGAAAAACTTTTTAAAAGCTGTATAAAAACTGCATTCCCTACAAGGCTTTAATTTTGTGCTCTGCTCTCCAATGCAACCATGTAGGTTGAGTGCCATCCATATTTCACCCAGCCAAAACTCTTGAAATTTTGCCAACAACATGACATTGTCATTATTGCATACAGCCCTTTGGGGACCTCTAGGAATCCAAACTGGTAAGCAATGCTGTATGTCTCTTCAGCAGTGTTTCTTTTGATATAGAGTATGAGACTAATGTGAATTACTTGATTGGCATGACTATATGGCTCTGTGATTTTAAGAAAGTAACTTAATCTTTTTGAGCCATTCTCTATATCTACAAGTTGGAGCTAATGAAACCTTCCTCACACAGGTGGTATAAGAATTGATTATACTGTATGTATAAAATTACCTAACAGTGCCTGAAACATAGGAAATGCTCACTAAATGTTAGTTTAGGTATATTTGACAAAGAGTCTTCATGACCATATCCTGAAAATTTAGAATTTTTTGATCTCTGTATTCACTTCTGCTGTGATGTGTTCCACAGACTTAAGTAGAAACTTTTCTACATAAACATGACTCGAAGAGTTGTGCCTCTGTTTCTTCCACTTTGGTTTTCCTGCCTTACCCTGCATGCCTACTTCCAACTCAGTCCTCTCTCTGAAACCCGCAAAGAAATACCATTTACCCTCTGAAAGAGGCAGCTCTATCAATTTGCCTCTCTCCTTTTTTTTTTTAAAGATTTTATTTATTTGACAGAGAAAGACACAGCGAGGGGAGTGGGAGAGGGAGAATCAGGCTTCCCGCAGAGCAGGGAGCCTGATGCAGGGCTCCATCCCCGGACCCTGGGATCATGACCTGAGCCGAAGGCAGACACTTAAGGACTGAGCCACCCAGGTGCCCCTTCAATTTGCCTCTCTTGATCTTTTCTTTTTATTTATCCATTTATTCATTTTATTGAAATGTGACTGACATATAAAATCTTGATCTTTTCATGCTAAAAGCAACTCTTCAACACTGAGTGCTCTGCACTCTGAGAAATTGGTTACAGGGGACCTCAAGTGTCCTGGTAGGTGACCAGGTGGTTGGGGAGACAGAGGAGAAGGGTGATTGACTAACCATCTGTTCTTATTACCTGAGCTAAATATGATGCAGGTTTTGATTTTTTTTTTCTTTTAAGGGTGAATGTATCTTCCCCACCTTTGCTAAAGGATGAACTTCTAAACGTACTGGGGAAAAGGTACAAGAAGACAGCAGCTCAAATTGTTTTGCGTTTCAACATCCAGAGAGGAGTGGTTGTTATTCCTAAAAGCTTTAACCCTGAAAGGATCAAAGAAAACTTTCAAGTAAGAGAACTGCTTCTGGAAATGTAAAAAGTAGAGTTGTTTTGTTTGTTTGTTTGTTTGTTTGTTTGAAGAACTTCCAGTTCAGATTAATAAGAAACTTGTAATGCCTTCATATTTTATTTTATACCTGCTTCCCAAACCACACTCTGTATATCTGAATTTGAGACAGTTCCCAGCATTTTAGGGATTGCCTCACTGCTCATACATAACCTAGCTCCCTTATTTCTTCTGTTTCCTTACCTTACCTAGACTCTTGGCACTACCTACTCACTTCTCCACCAGAACAGCAGGAATGGAAGGTATAAAAGGTATAAAATTTGAAATTGATAATAGCAAACTTTCTGCCTCCTTAACGTCTCTGGTAAAAGTTAGGAACAAATTTGGAAATTATTGAAGAAGATCATTCGACTTCATGAGTGCTAATTGCCTCTATTTCCTCTATAAATAATCTGTGATCAGCATCATAACTTACAGGTGAGAAGAGGTCACTAGACAAAGGAGTGATTAGTTTACTCTGCTACTACTCAAGGCTAAACTGCTAGGTAAATACAGCCATAGAAAAGTACCATGCAAAATTAATTACTCATCAGTTAATAATCTCAAAAAGTAAGTTGTTTGTCTCAATAATTTTATTTAAGAAAATATGTAAATAAGTAGTTTAATGAGTTTAATAATCTCAAAAAGTAAGTAAATGAGACAGGATTTATCCCCTCAGATAGGAAAATAATCAGAATATTGAATATGTACAAAAACAGGCACTTTCATATACTCCTGTTAGAAACATTAACTGGTATAAGATTTGAAGGAGCAGGATGTCACTTTTCCAGATCCATCAAAATTCAAGCCCACATATCCATTTGACCCAACAATCTTGATACTATATTTACACATACATGCACACATATATGGATATTTACTAGAGCATGATTTTTCATTTTTAAAAAAACTTGGAAACAATCTTCAGTAGAATCTTGTAAAACAAATTATAATATATTTGTACAATGAAATATTATATAGCCTTTTAAAATAATGGGGTGAAAATATAAGTACTGCCACAGGAAGATATTCATGATATTAGACAATTTATCTTCAGAGCTTTTTTGCTACCACATGACAGAATGCAACTCAAACTTATCAAAGATAGACATGATTTATTGGGCCATATAACTGGAACATCCCATGGATAAATCAGGCATGACTGGGCAGGGGTATTCAAATGATTTATAAAAGGACTGAGTTCCCTTCCTCCCTCCACACTCCCCTCTTCCCCCTCAACCTTCTCTTTCTCTACATGGTGGCACAAACAGTCCCTGACAGCTCCAGGCTAATCTATTACTCATACTCAGTGAAGATGATCACAGGTAAAGGCTTCTGTGAGGATCTCTATCAATCCCTGGTTGTCCCTTTGTGGGTCATGCACCACTCCCACATTAATCACCGTATCCAGTAAGATACTTTGATTGGCCCCCTGGGCTACAACCGTATTCCTGTGCTGGAAATGAATTCATGTGACAAACAGCGCTCCTAGATGGTGGAAGATAAATTCTTAAGAGGAAAGAGCGGGTTCTGTTATTAGCAAAAAGAGGAAAGAATGATAAACAGTTATACCACTACGGACAGCATTTTAACATTTAACAAAATACCTCTTACTAAAAGGGGTTGACACTGTTTTCAGCCATCTTAAAAGAATAAGCTATCTAGACAGCTAATGTGTTAGTTCATCAAAAATTAAGACAAGTTTTGATGCACCTGAAACAAATATTTTCATGGATTCAAAATTTTACTGTTCAGAAAATGAGAGTGGTTACTAGTGGTCTGTGCAATGGAAGGTTAAAGCCTTTGGACTTTATGTTATTTAGTGAATCACAACTTTGTAGTAAAGGTACAATCTCCTAAATCATTCTCCTAAAAATTTTATCACAACTCTTTCTGTTATAGTCATATAGTCAGTATATTTCCATAGTCCTGATAATAAGGAAATGGAGTTCAGAGGCTCACATACCACAAGAAAATATGAAAGAGATAAAAATCTATAAGGAAAATGACAGTGGAAATCACAGCTAATTTCCACTCTATAGGGTTTAGATTTGCCCTGTAGCCACAAATTTTGCTGGGTATTAAAACCAAGAATTGACAAAATAGAAAATTATTTTCTTTTAGAACTAAGGTAAAGTAAACCTTTAAAAGTATTTTAAAAGAATGGGGAATGTCCACAAAACAGAAAGGGTAAAGGGAAAATTAAATATGTTTACAATAAAGGGAAAAAAAGTCAAAGAAATAAAAATCATGTAACAAAAAGTTAAATCGTAAATTAAAAACAAAAGCTATATAAAATTCAAGGTAAGAATGAAGAAAATTAAAAAGCAGGATATTTTTAACATTAAAACAACAAAAAATCAAATTTTACCACCCACTATCTGCCTTGTTGCCATCATCCACTGACACCCATTCCTTGAAGGTTACTCACTTTCCCTCTTTCCAAAACTCTCCCCGTCACAATTCTTAGTGAATTCAACATACACATGGATAGTCCTTCCAATAACCTGGCCTGATAGTTCTTTAACCTCTTCTCCCACAATGATCTTGTCCTATATATTTCATCCACTATTCCCATTATTATTCCTTGGAAACTGCAGTTATTAATACCTAATAACCCTTTCATACCCCTCAAAAATTCCCCTCTCTCTGCTGCGTTATCTCTCCACTACATAACTCCCATCAACATACAAATATGCTGTAACCTCCAGTCTCAAAAGGTAAAATCCAATCTAGACGTTCTTCTCCAGCTATTATCCAGTTCTTTCTTTCTGTTTACAACAGACCCTTAAAAGAGAATTCTGTTCTCACTACCTCCAAGTCCCTTTCCCCCACTCTCCTTTAAACCCATTGAAACTGAGGTTTCACCCTGACACAGCTCTTGTCAAGTTCACCAATGACCTCCACCTTGCTAGAGCCAATAATCACTTCTCTGTCCTTGTTCTGGTAGATCTTCCAACAGCATTGAATACGGTTAACACTTTCTCTTTCTTGAAATCTTTACTATAAGAGAAGCAGATTGGGGCAGTGGGGGCAGAATATCAGGTACTCAGCTATGTGAGATCCTGAATAAGTGAATAACTTAGGATAATTTGTGTCATAAAAAAATGAAAATCAACCCACATAAAATAAAGAAAAGCATTGCATAGAAAGAATGGAGGGAGGGAGGAAGAATGTGGAAGTTTACCTTAAAATTAAAACCGAAGGGGCGCCTGGGTGGCTCTGTCAGTGGAGCATCCAACTCTTGATCTCACCTCAGGTCTTGATCTCAGGGTCGTGAATTCAAGCCCCACATTGGGCTCTATGCTGGGTGTGGAGCCTACTTAAAAAAAAAAATTAGAAAATTATGAAATAATTTTAGTTATTTTATAGTCAACAAAATTTAGGTTACGATTGTATATGTGTACTAAATCTTAGAAGAAACTTAAAAATATGCTTGACAAAATTGCATGATAACAGAATGTGACGTTCTCTACTTCAGAAAGGTTTTTGCTAAGGGATCATAAAAAGAATAATGCTGGTAAAATTTCACAGAACTTCATCTGAAGATTATAAATCCTTTGATTTTTTTTCAAATCACACTCTTGATACATCTACTGAAGTAGACTTTAACTGCATCAGATTCCATCTGAAAAACATTTTGCCTATAATTGAAGCAAACCAAGATCACTTTCATTGACTTCATGAAATCCTGCATCTTTGGCAAGATTTACAACTTCACTTTACATTATATATTCACTGGAGTCAGAAAATGAATCACCAATACTTAAAAAGCGGACCTAATGTTAAGCAAAAAGAAAATTTGAGTAAGGATTTATTTTATAAGTGATTGGTCATTCATGACTGTTTCCATGTAATGCAAAGTTTTGATTCACAATCTCATAAACTCAATATTTGAATAATAATCAAAGAAAAGCACTCCCTGAAAAGAGCACTTGGACACAACCCATGGGGGAATGATTAGGTAAATAGTGTTACAGCTATACTATGAATGCAGTGATTAAATTAAAGTCAGTATTTTGTCAGAAAAGATCACCAAGACATATTCTATGAATGAAAGAAAGTTGCAGAATAATAAAAATACGATACAATTGTTGCATTTTGTTCTTGGTGTGTTGGATGTTTGGAAGGAATGTTTGGGAAGAATAGGATTGGAGTGGTGGGTAACAAGAGGGCCTTTCATTTATTATTCTGTGCAAGTCCATAGACTTCTGTAGTGTTTTAATTCTCACAAAAAAGCATATATTTATGTATCACTTATATAATTAAAATTTATAAATATAAATTACTAAAATAAAAGTTAAGGGATTACAAGTTAAAACAATACAGTAAAAGATCATTATAGACAAACCAAGTGCTAAAAATGTAAATAAGCTAAAATAAAATATTAAAATGTTAATAAAGGACAATTATAAAACCAGAGTATAAAATGTACAAGCTAAGAAAAAATAATGAAAATGTAATAGATTTAAAAGGTAGAAAACATATTAAAAATGATGAGAGAAATGATTAAGAGGATAAAACAAAGCAAATTAAAAGTTAAAAAAATGCATAAGCAAATTTAGAGACTAGGGAATATTTTAAAAAACAAGTGCACAAAGGCCATAGTCCAAAATCAGAGGTTTAGCTTCTCATCCAGAAACAATAAAAAATTCTTCACTCTTGGAATTTTAGGTGTCCTGAACATACGTTGTTGCAGTGCATTTGGAATGTCCTGCAAGAAAGCCCTAGCAGGAGTGTCTCAAAGACAAAGAGCAGAACAGAAGAACCCCAATTCTGCCTGGGGATGTGGCCCCCCAGCACCAGCCCAACTTCTCTCACATTTGCAGATATTCATAATTTTATTTTTTGATTTATTTTTATTTTTAATTTATTTATTTATTTAAATTCAATTAACCAACATATAGTACATCATTAATATTCATAAATTTTTGACATAAAAATCTTTTATGTGTATATCACTAATAATGGAGCTTCAACATAAATGAAGAACTAAAAGGAAATATCTGACAGAACTGAAAGAAACTAACAATTATTTTTTGTATCAATTTTTTATTGACATTCTGGTTAGTTAACATATGGTGTAATATTGGTTTCAGGAGTAGAATTTAGGGATTCATCACTCATAACACCCAGTGTTCATTACAACAAGTGCCCTCCTTAATGCCCATCACCCATTTAGCCCATCCCCCACCCACTGCCCCTCCAACAACCCTCAGTTTGTTCTCTATGGTAAAGAGTCTCTTATGGTTTACTTCCCTCTCTCTTTTTCTTTTCCATCCCCTATACTCATCCATTTTGTTTCTTAAATTCCACATATGAGTAAGTCATTTGGTATTTGTCTTTCTCTGACTTATTTCGCTTAGCATAATACTCTCTAGCTCCATACACGTTATAGCAAAAGGAGAGATTCATTGTTTCTTATGGCTGAGTAATATTCCATTGTATGTATATATACCACATCTTTTTTTTTCCCATTCATCAGTTGATGGACATTTGGGCTCCTTCCGTATCTTGGCTATTGTTGATAATGCTGCTATAAACATCAGGATGCATGTATCCCTTCAAATCAGTATTTTTGTATCCTTTAGGTAAGTATCTAGCAGTGTAATTGCTGGATCATAGGGTAATTCTATTTTTAAATTTTTGAGGAACCTCCACACTGTTTTCCAGTGGCTGCACTAGCATTCCCACCAACAGTGTAGGAGGGTTCCCCTTTCTCCACGTCCTTGCCAACACCTGTTGTTTCCTGACTTGTTAATTTTAGCTATTCTGACTGGTGTGACGTGGTATCACATTGTGGTTTTGATTTGTATTTCCCTGCTGATGAGTGATGTTGAGCATCTTTTCATGTGACAGTTGGCCATCTGTATGTCTTCTTTGGAAAAATGTCTGTTCTTGTCTTCTGCCCATTTTTTAACTGGGGATTATTTGTTTAGGTGTTGAGGCCTTTATATATTTTGGATACTAACCCTTTATCAGATATGTCATTTGCACGTATCTTCTCCCATTTTATAGGCTGCCTTTTAGTTACATTGATTGTTTCCTTCAATGTGCAGAAGTTTTTATCTTGATAAAGTTCCAATAGTTCATTTTTGCTTTTGTTTCCCTTGCCTCTGACAACATATCTAGAAAGAAGTTGCTATGGCCAATGTCAGAAAGGTTACTGCCTGTGTTCTAAGATTTTGATGGTTTCCTGTCTCACACTTAGGTCTTTCATCCATTTTGAATTTATTTTGTGTATGGTGTAAAAAGTGGTCCAACAAAACACCATTTGTTGAAGAGATGATCTTTTTTCATTGGATATTCTTTCCTGCTTTGTTGAAGATTCGTTGACCGTATAGTTGTGGGCTCATTTCTGGGTTTCATTGATCTATGTGTCTGTTTTTGTGCCAGTACCATACTGTTTTGATCACTATAGTTTTGTAATATATCTTGAATTCCTGAATTGTGATGCCCTCAGCTTTGCTTTTCTTTTTCAGGTTTGCTTTGGCTATTCAGCATCTTTTTTTTTTTTTTTAATTTGGGGTCTTTTGTGTTTCCATACAAATTTAAGTATTATTTGTTCTAGTTCTGTGGAAAATTATATATTAATAGGGATTGCATGGAATGTATAGATTGCTTTGGGTGGATTAAACATTTTAATAATACTTGTTCTTCCAATCCATGAGCACAGAATGTTTTTCCATTTCTTTGTGTCATCCTCAATTTCTTTCTTACGTGTTCTCCAGTTTTCAGACTACAGATCTTTTCCCTCTTTGGTTAGGTTTATTCCTAGGTATCTTATGGTTTTGGGTGCAATTGTAAATGGGATTGATTCCTTGATTTCTCTTTCTGCTGCTTCATTATTGGTGTATAAAAATGCAACAGATTTCTGGGGCGCCTGGATGGCTCAGTTGGTTAAGCGCCTGACTCTTAGTTTTGGCTTAGGTCGTGATCTCAGGGTCATGAGATCAAGCTGGCCTTAGGCTCCTCACTCAGCACAGTCTGCTTGTCCCTCTCCCTCTGTTCCTCACCCCCACTCACACTCTCTCTCTCAAATAAATAAAATCTTAAAAATAAAATAAAATCAAAAGAAAAAAAATATAACAGATTTCTGTACATTGATTTTGTATCCTGTGACTTTGCTGAATTCATGTATCAGTTCTAGCAATTTTTTGGTGGAGTCTTTTGGGTTTTCTACATAGAGTATCATGTTGTCTGCAAACGGTGAAAATTTGATCCCTTCCTTGCCTGTCTGGGTGCCTTTTATTTCCTTTTGTTATCTGATTGCTGAAGCTAGGACTTCCACTACTATGTTAAATAACAATGGTGAGAGTGGACATCCCTGTCTTTTTCCTGACTGTAGAGGAAAAGCTCTCAGTTTTTCCTCATTGAGGATGATACATTAGCTGTGGGTTTTTTGTATATGGCCTTTATGATATTGAGGTATGTTCCCTCTATCCCTATTTTGTTGAGGATTTTTATCAAGAAAGGATGCTGTACTTTGTCAAATGCTTTTTCTGCATCTATTGAAAGGATCATATGGTTCTTATCCTTTCTTTTATTAATGTGGTACATCACATCGATTGATTTGTGAATATTGAACTACCCTTGCAGCCCAGGAATAAATCCCACTTGGTCACGGTGAATAATTCTTTTAAACATGTTCATAAAAAAAAAGAATGCTCATAAATTTTTAAAGGGTTCCTGCTGCTGGTCCCATTCCCTGATCCCAGGCTTGACCCATTTTCTACCTTCAATAATGTCTTTTATTTCTGTTATTTCAGATCTTTGACTTTTCTCTCACTGAAGAAGAAATGAAGGACATTGAGGCCTTGAATAAAAATGTCCGCTTTGTGGAGATGCTCATGTGAGTATGGGGGGACCATTCACCAAGTACTGCCCAGGGGTATTGGATTATGCTAGGGCCATAGAAATCACAAGGGTAAAGGAAAGTAGGCAGCATGTTCTGAGTACTAAACAGGTCTGGGTAAATTACATTTACTCCAGGAACTTCCTATAAGCTACAGTTTTATTAAAAATATATCTGGCATTTATGACATCTCATGACTTAGGTTAGAGAATGGCAGGCTAAATACCTGATGAGAATTAAGTCATAGTGTATATATGTTAATACAACAGCAACACAAATATTCTAACCTATTTATTTTTTCCTAAAAGTCAAAGTGATGTACAATTTAGAGCAAAGTTATTAACAAAAAAGAAAGAGACATGGGAACATAGTAGAAAGAATACCACATTAGAAGCTAAGAACCTAGGGCTATAGGCAAATGCTTACCTGTAAGATTGTGGAGCTTCTAACTTCACCTATTAGCTGACTTCCCACGAGCAAAATTCCTTACACTCCTTCAAAATGTTGCTAAATTTGGCTAATCAATTGAAGTAGCCCTTTATTCTCTAAATAGTATAGGGCCTTTAAAATAACAAAAGACTACAGTTCATACATATATGGTTCTCATATATATATATGTATATATACACATTTTTTCTTTTTATTCATTACTATTTCCAGTTCTTGAAATCACCTGGATAGTAATCTGTTTGTAATCTCCTCTCTAAGAGAGCATTTGGAAAATGCTCATTAGGGTAGTTAATATAGTTTGAACACTTATTTTATTGTTCCCACTATTTCTCATTAGTCAAAAAGCACACTGACTATGCTAATATTGAATTTCTGAATCAATTTCTGAATTAATACAACAGCCTCCTAATGTGAATTTTCCAGGGCAAAACATTATTTGACATCAAAAGGTATCACCTAGCCTTGGAAACAAAAAGGTAAACACAAACACAGACCTAACCAACACTTACTGGTTAATTAATAGCTCTTGAAGATGAACTATTACTATTGAATAAATATCATTAAATTAAGAAGAGATAGTAAGAGACAGTCAAACCACTAATGTACTGATTTTTTTTACAGCTAGTTGGTGACAATATTTAGTTTGAAATTTGACATATTTAATACCTAATTACCACAACACTGGGAAAATAACTCATAGGAAATAACTAGAAAAATCAGCAAGGAGAAACAAACAGTAGGCTTCATTTATCAAAAAAAAAAAAAAAATGTACCATTTAGGAATGGTAGGCCATGATTCTTCTCTGTTTTTCATCCAGTTGATCTTTGACATTGAAAAGCCTTTATTTATTTTGTATTTTAATTTAAAGCTCATAATACTTGCAGAGAACTGAATCTTAGACATGGTCCATGGCAGGTACAACCCACACCAATCCTTTCTTATTGACTGTTCCATCACTGTTGTTTAAGGGATAGGTTCATTATCATCATCATTATTATGGAAACTTACTTCACTGATCACCTTTCTAGATCTCAGACTTTCAGTTCGCAGGAGGTCCAGTGAGAAGGGCAGGTAAAAACTCCGAGAAGAGAGTGATAATGATGGGTAATAGAAATTTGAAGAGAAATGCTTATGTGGATCATTGACATGGAAGGCAGCCTGTGTCAAAACAGCAGAGGGGAGGAAGGAATTGAGAAAGGGCATGAAAAACCACAAACAGGCATTGCTCTCACCTCATGTGCTTTTGTTCTGAGCAAAATCTTGATAGAGAGGCCTTCCAACACACACACACACACACACACACACACACACACACACACACACACGCTTACCGGAGGGTGTTGTCTAGGGCTTCAATAAGAGATGCTGGCTTGAGGGAAAACAGAGGAGATAGGGTGAGAAACAGGGAATGAGTAAGGGAGAGAGGGAGGGATCAGTGAAATTGTTGAAGGAGGCTAGTAACACATACAGCTGTGCAACATTTGCAGTGAAATTTTTCCCTTTGGGGAATTGTTTTGACAGGTGGTGTGATCATCCCGAATACCCATTTCATGATGAATACTGACTTCATAATGCTCCTGAACTGATTTTTCCCTCCCATGCATGCCAGAACCTTGGGCTGGGTGGTTCCCCCAGAGGAAGAAATTTAAAAAGTTTTACTATCTTTAGATAAAGTGGTGATGTTAACATGCTTAAGTTTGACTTTGGCTTAAGTATATGAAGAAAAAAATATGTTTAAATATGAAGAAAAAAATATGTTTAAATCTGTTGAAATAATTGTTTGGAAACTATAAGCTAATATTTTATTGGATCAAGGTCTTTTGGGTTCCAGACAGAAAAACATTAGGCTTTAGAAAAGACTACAGAGGCAATATATGAAGATAAATAACTCATAAATGTGAGCACTGCCATTGGTAGTCTGAGTTCCTTACTTTAGCAGTTAACAGGGCAACAAAGAGGGTGGTGAGCTAGTGCATGCCAGTGTTGGCAGTGACTTTGATGATTTGGACCATCGATTATAACACAGACACAGTCAAGATAAGATCCACACATGCATTATTAAGAAGGAAGTGATTTGCTGCACCCTGTGTAAAGAGAAAGGGCTAAGCATAGAAAAGTCTTAAAATAGAGCTAATTAAACACCACAGTGGTCAGCATAGACATAATGATTTGGTTGTTGTTTTTTCCATCCAGTGTGGGTTCATTTAGCTTTTACCTAGTTTGAGGGATGGCTAATTGCTGGTTCTCTCTTGCATGCTTTCAAGGGCCTGAGAATGAACATAACTGGTGGTCCATTCTTACACTGCCTATCACTCTTGGCCTACTCATACATCCACCATTATGTGAAGTAGCTTGAGACAATCAACAGACACAAAACCCTGAGTCATAAAATAATCCAAAGATGACTATTTTTTAAGTAGGCTCCATGCTGGGAAACCAGAACTCATGACCCTGAGATCAAGAACTGAGCTGAAGGGCACCTGGGTGGCTCAGTTGGTTAAGCGACTGCTTTCAGCTCAGGTCATGATCCTGGAGTCCCGGGATCGAGTCCCACATCGGGCTCCCTGCTCAGCAGGGAGTCTGCTTCTCCCTCTGACCCTCTTCCCTCTCGTGCTGTCTCTCATTCTCTGTTTCTCAAATAAATAAATAAAATCTTAAAAAAAAAAAAGAACTGAGCTGAAATCAAGTCAGATGTTTAACTGACTGAGCCACCCAGGTGCCCCCAAAGATGACTATTTTAAAAGAAGGCATTTAAAAAGGAGGCTTTAGGGGTCCCTAGCTGGCTCATTCAGTGGAGCATGTGACTCTTAATCTCAGGGTTGTGAGTTCAAGCCTCATGCTGGGTGTAGAGATTACTTAAAATCTTTAAAAAAAAAATTAAATTAAAATTAAAAAGAGGCTTCATAAAATTATTATACTTAGGACTTTGAAAGTGTTATTGGGATAACTGTGAATTTCAAGAAAGTAGCAAGTTTGAAAAAACACTGGTAATATTACTATATGTAAATTTTTAATTTTTAAGTAAGAACATTATTAGAATTATTCAATAGAGATATACCAATAGTCAATTCAACTGGAGCAATGTATTTTTTATTCATATTAAGTCATTTTCATTAGGCAAGAGAGTTCTTCAAAAATTATGTCTTTCCAAGACCAATTGCTTACAGATAATCTTTAGTGACCTGAAAACATACATTTCTGAGAAATCAGCACTTTAAGAAAATTTGATCTCACTGTATCCACTGATGCTAATGTAATGCTCTTCTCTGGAAAATATTTTGTTTACAAGAAATAATAAAATGTGATGATTTATTGAACCACTTGAATCTCCATTTTGTTGCTAAAGGTAGAGGGAGGGAAAGAATAATCTGAATTCAATTCAATTAAAAGACTTTTGATTAAGTTCTTACTGTACATTTAGCACTGGTAAAAGGGAAGAAAAGGGGGGTATCATAGTACAAGAACAGAAACTTAAGCCCTGTTCCCTGTTATCAAACTTCTTCAACGTATTTCAGGGGGCTGGTGTGGAGGAGGGACCATACATTTCAAACCATTTTTAAAAGACAGTCATTGGGAAAGAGTCCTACCATTTTTAAGGGGAGGAATATTTCTAAAGATTAGAGGAGGGGAACCCTATCTTAGTTATACAGAGATGAGGGGGAAAGAGTTGAAGACAGAAAACAGGAAGTCCAGGAAAGAGTGACAGTCTGATATGAGCTTCTGCATTTCTCCTCTCCCTCTGCTCACACCCCTCACAAACTTCCCATCTATTTTGGGATGAATTATGTCCTCCCACCCCCAAATTCAAACCTTAAAGTCCTAGCGCCTAGCACCTCAGAATGTGACCTTATTTGGAAATAGGGTCATTGCAGGTCATTGCATATATAATTCATTAAGATGAGGTCATAATGGAGTAGGGTGGCTCCAAATCCAGTAAGACTGGTGCCTTATAAAAAGGGGAAATTTGGACACTAACAACATATAGGGAGAACACCATGTACAGATCAAGACAGAGATCAGAGTGATGCTTTAAATTATCTGTTCCTTATATAAAACAATAACATAAAGGAACTCATTGATAATAATACAATAACAGTAGGAGACTTTAACACACCATTTACATCAATGGACAGATCATCTAAGCAGAAAATCAACAAGGAAACAATGGCTTTGAACAACACACTGGACCAAATAGGCTTAACAGATATATTTAGTACACTCTCTCCTAAAGCAGCAAAGTACACATTCTTTTCACATGCACACAGGACATTCTCCAGAATAGATCATGTACTAGGTCACAAATCAGGTCTTAACAAGTACAAAAAGATTAAGATCATACCATGCAACTTTTCTGACCACAACACTATGAAATTTGAAGTCAACCACAAGAAAAAATTTGGAAAGACCACAAATACTTGGAGGTTAAAGAACATCCTACTGGGGGGGGCGGAGCAAGATGGCGGAGGAGTAGGAGACCTGGATTTCGTCTGGTCCCAGGAATTCAGCTGGATAGGGATCAAACCATTCTGAACACCTACGAACTCAACAGGAGATCGAACAGGAGAGTAGCAACAACTCTCTGAACAGAGAAGCGACCACTTTCTGGAAGGTAGGACGTGTGGAGAAGTGACTCCGAGGCGATATTCGGGAGGATAGACGGCGGGGGAGGGGCCTCCGTCGGCCGCTTCTGGCAAGTGCTAGAGCCGCGGAGCACAAAATCGGACCTTTTAGAGGTCGGCTCCGCTGAGGGACGTCGCTCCAGTGGCTAAGCGGGGGGTGGAACCCTCGTGGGACAGTGTGGTCTCAGGACCCTCGGGGTCACAGAAAGACTGGGGGTGACTGAGTGCAGCAGAGCTCCCAGGAATCGGAGCGGGAAAGCCG